ACTATGAATTTTGATCAGTAACATTGATAATATGAAACTATTGGTTGATAAAAAATTTACTTTTAAAATTAAAAATATAGAGTATTTGTAAGGTTAGAATATGTGTCAATTTTTACATACATCGACTTGGAAATTTCATTCATATTGTTTCCAAGATATTAATTGCACTTACATCACATGATATACTCCTCCTCCTCTTAAGTAAAAGGGACAATTGAAAAAGTGTCACTTTTGTTGTGTATATTTGCAAATATGCCACTTAGGGGTGTTCATTTGCAAAAATGACACTAATTATGGATTTTCAAAACCTAAATCTTAAAATTATAAACCATAAAAAATGTTTTGACCGCTAAAACTCTCAAAACTAAACATTAGTATAACATAGTTAACCCAAACATAAATGATATAATGAATTTTTTTTTAAAGTGGCATTTTTGCAATATAAAGTATTTGTAAGGCTAGAATATATGTCGATTTTTACATACATCGACATGGAAATTTCATTCATATTGTTTCCAAGATATTAATTGCACTTACATCACATGATATACTCCTCTTCTTAAGTAAAATGGACAATTGCAAAAATATCACTTTTGGTGTGTACATTTGCAAGAATGCCACTTAGAGGTGTCCATTTGGAAAAATGCCACTAATTATGGATTTTTAAAACCTAAATCTTAAAATTATAAATCCTAAAAAATGTTTTGACCCCTAAACCCCTCAAAACCCTCAAAACTAAACCTTAGTACAACATAATTAACCCAAACATAAATGATATAATGAATTTTTTTTTTAAAGTGGCATTTTTGCAAAGATTTTTGAAAAAATGGCATTTTTGAAAAGTGGCACTTGAATAGTGGCATTTTTTGAAATTTCTCTAAGTAATTATTTTCTCCTGTTTTTATAGTTATATTTAAATTTTCTCTTTGGGTTAAAAGTAAAATCATAAAACAAAATAATCTTTAATTTTTCAAGCTTATATTATTTTTGTGTAAATATTTGTAATTTTTCTTAAGGAAAATAAAATTCTCTTAGGGTCTGAATGGTGACACTGAATTATTCGGGGCAGGTAAAAAAATTATACGGTGCGGTACATTACAACTTCGGTTTGTACGGATTACGGAACAAGTGTGGTTTATATAAAAAAGCGGGACGAAACAATGTTTGATTGGTGAAAAAAATAACATGCTGTTAAGGATAATTGTTTGATTGGTGAAAAACGATAAAAGTGGTTTGAAATAAATATTTTTGCATAATAATTTTAGAAAAAAAATTTAAATATTGTTATTATTATTTGCATAAATTATTGAAAAAAATGCCACTTTTGGTGTGTCACTTTGTAAAAATATTACAATAGGTTGTCCATTTGCAAAATGCCAC